TATAACGTTGTAAACTAATCCCTCGTTTATTTTTCTTTATTACTATTATTATTATTATTATTATTACAAAAGACCGTGAGTCAGCTACGCGCCTCAAGACCCTCCGTCTTTCCATCGCCTCCCACACTCTCCCGCCATGAAGAACCGGAGCGACGGCAAGATCTCCTTCAGATGGATCCCCTTTCTCTGCATCTTCTGCTTCACTTGCGGAATTCTCTTCACTAGCAGGTTCTTAAATTTCCCATCTTCCATTTTTCTCCTCCTTTGTTTTCGTTCTTTGATTGTGTGTCGTGGATTTCATCCTTCAATATCTTGGGAGGGGGTTTGATTCTGATGTCTCTTTCCATTTTTGATCATGTTGCAGGATGTGGGTTTTGCATGAATCTAACGGTCAGCTCATCTCGCAGCACCGCCGCGAACAGGAGTTGCAGAGCGTCTCCGACGATTGCTCTACTAAGAAAGTACGTTTCACTTTCAATCATGAAACGATTGTAACCCTGTTTGCTTAAATTTAATCATCTGCTTCCATTGATGTTACAGAAACCTGAAGATGTAATGAAGGAAATTTTGAAAACCCATGGAGCAATTCGGTGGGTGCAGGATTAGTGCGGGTTAATTTTGCTAAATTCTTTGTCTTTTTGTTCACAATTTAATTTGTTAAGTCATTTTGTGATTTATGGACCTATCAGAACATTAGACAAGTCAGTGGCAATGCTCCAGATGCAGCTGGCTGCAGCTCGGAGCACTGAGGAATTGGGAAGCTCGGATGGCTATGGCTCCAGTTCTGTCTCCTCCTTGTTTCATGACAGCCCCCCAAGACAGAAGGTTTTCATGGTTATGGGAATTAATACTGCTTTTAGCAGTAGGAGACGACGTGATTCTGTCAGAGAGACTTGGATGCCTCAAGGTTTTGTGGTTTTAAGTTGATCTGAGGTATGACTTGTTAGCCAAATGATGTCTCTAATGGTATGATTTGTTGTTATCTGATCAGGAGAAAAGCTTTTCCAATTGGAGCGTGAGAAGGGAATTGTCATTCGGTTCATGATTGGCCACAGGTGAATTACTTTGATTTTCTTTTCACAGAGCATACATCTCAGAATACTTCCCTAAGCAACAGAAACATTTAGTGGTTGATCAAACATTAGGTTTATGTTCATATTCATCCGTAGAAGTCTCTGGAAATCATATTCTGTAAAGCCATGGAAGAATAAGTGTAATTGTTAAGCAAATGACGGTTGTCATTCTTGCTAAGATGGTTTAGCAGTTACTTTAGAAACTTCCCAAAGCTTTAGATTATATTCTATTCATTCATTAACTTTGACAGTGTGAAACGAGGTATCCTAATTTTTCATGCTGATGATTTCTTGCATTCTGCTCCTCTCCGTCTTCTTTCTTTATTTTTAAGATCTGAATATTGGTTATCCCAATGATGTAACTTGAATGTGGTGAATCATTTCTGAAATTGCAACATTTCAATGCTTGGATTCAGGAAATGAACAAACTATTATGATGGCCTCATGGTCTGAATTCTAGCTGACACAATTTAAATCTACATTATTTGATGCAGTGCAGTGTCCAACAGCATTTTGGATAGAGCTATTGATTCTGAAGATGCACAGCATAAGGACTTCCTTAGGCTGGTAGGGAGCATTTTTCAAAACATGTGTGTATGAATGGAAGTTATGATATTTTTATCAATAATCATTTTATTTGCATTATCTTGTAGGAGCATGTTGAAGGATATCATGAATTGACTGCCAAAACAAAAATTTTCTTTTCTACTGCTGTTGCAAAATGGGATGCTGATTTCTATGTCAAGGTGGATGATGATGTCCATGTCAACATTGGTATGTATGATAATGAGTTTCTTTTCCTCCCTTCATCTTGGAAACTTTTTATCACACAAAACAAAAGGGCTAAAGAAAATATTTTGATAGTTCTCCTGGAAGTTGGATTACTTACATATTGTTCTTGTTAGGAATGTTGGCTACTACTCTAGCCCATCACCGCTCGAAGTCTAGAGTCTATATTGGGTGTATGAAATCTGGACCTGTTCTTTCTCAAAAGTAACCTTTTGGTCCCTTTTACTGTCAATGATATACTTCTTAATTTGCTTCTCTCCCTTATGAAGGATTGTTATGTAAATTAAATTTCATTGAATCTCTTTCTGTTCTTTAGGAATGTTAAGTACCATGAACCGGAGTACTGGAAATTTGGAGAGGAGGGGAACAAATATTTCCGGCATGCAACTGGACAGATATATGCAGTTTCAAAGGACCTTGCAACATACATCTCCATAAACCAGTAAGGATTTTCACCCTCCCCCTCCTTTTTTTGTTTTGGTATGAAACAGCATACTCTGTTGCCTTGCACTCTGCCACGTTGAGTCTTGGTTTTCTTTCTCTGAGCTGAGGAATTAGATGCTTTTCTTAACTATTCCCTTCCCCTGACTTCTATTTTGTGTACTGTTATCTTTCCCACTTTATCATTGCTTGTCTTCATAAATTGATTCTTGAAATGTTAAATATGCTGTTGCAAAATATTTGGTTAAGATTAGCTTGTGAGGGTTGAAGCACTGTAGTTGGCTGAATATTTGAATCCCTCCATAGCCATTTCGGCTAGAAGGCAATCTTAGTGGACCATGTCCACCACCCTTGGATGTACCCTTTCTGGCTTTCCCAGTGACTCATAGGGGTGCCTGTAGGACTAGTCAGGTCAAACGTCCATATGCAAATAGCCATGTTATCCAAAAAAATATTTTGAGAGTTTAAATATGTTTAAATCCTAAAAGAACAATGAGCAATCTATATCCTTGCCCACACTACATTGGAAAATTATTTTGATGTGGAATCTTTTCTTTCCATTTTGGGCCCAAAAAAAAAAAAAATATGATGTGGTATCTTTTCAGTTTTCACCTTCTGTGTGTACAGCATCCTGTCATGCAAAAGCAGGGCTAATGCTCAGAGTGGTATTGTTGACTGCAGGCCCATATTGCATAAGTATGCTAATGAAGATGTCTCACTCGGTTCTTGGTTTATTGGCCTTGATGTTGAGCACATAGACGACCGAAATATGTGCTGCGGGACTCCTCCAGGTAATGTTCCTTTGATATAAATTTACTTTGTTTTCAATTAATGCACGAGCAAGATTATGTATAGGAAGGTGCCACAACCATATCTGAATCTGAAGCCGTTCATACTTCTTTTTATGATGGACTTCAAATGTTTTTGTTTCTTCAAGGGAAGTTTTCCAGGAATAAGGAGTTAAACTGCTTTTGGGATTTGAGTTCTTGTTTGAACTTTGAATTTCTTTAGTTGATGGCATTCTTTCTAGTTGGTATCATTTAACATACCTTTTTCCATTCTCTTTCAGATTGTGAGTGGAAGGCTCAAGCAGGTAACATATGTGTTGCATCTTTTGATTGGAGCTGCAGTGGAATATGCAAATCAGTGGAGAAGATCAAATTTGTTCATGAAAGGTGTCATGAGGGGGAGGGAGCTGTTTGGAGCGCTCTAATTTAAATAGACTGGCACAGTTTCATTGGCAAACAATACGGATCAACATGGCAAAACACAGTTTTGGTAGTTGAGATAGGGAAAGGGGGAGCATAGTTGTGCATTGGGGTGCTGGTTCATGTTTGCTCTACATTTTGTTGAATTTTACAAGCAAATCACACACAAAAGAGGAAGCAAATACCTATTCAATCACACGTGCAAGGAGCTTATACATAAAGCATTTCTTCCAAATCTTGATTTGAAGTTATACACACAACCTCTTGTACTACTCTTTTTCCCCAACTCTTTGCATGGGAATTGAATGTACCCTTTTAAGATGGTTGTTCTAACCCCAAAAGCATGTGTATGGACCTTTTTTTTTTCTCGAACAAAATGAAATTTTGCTAATTTGTATCTTGTTGTTTGAACATTTTATAGTATTAGTAGAATTGAATGATAGTGGGGTATATTGATTCTTTCTCAGATTTTATGTTTTTATTATCCATTGATCGTGGTTTTCGAGTTCCAAAAACATAAATTAACCTAAGAATATCTACTAGAAGACCTTAAACAAACTTGTAAGTCAAATAAGTCTTTTTAAATTAAAAAAAATAATTACACATAAAGATGATATAATTACAATATGTATTGTAAGTTTACACATGTTACATCATATGATTGAGTCTTTTAATTTAAGAATACACTTGTGATATTCTATACATTCTCACTCATTGACCGTATTTGAAGAGTTGAGGAATTTAAAGTGATTACTTAAAACTTAAGGGTTTTATTTAATGGAGTTGGATCACAAAATTCTCAAATATAGGGACTATAGTGTCCACATCATAAAAGTTGAGGACCAAATTAAAAAACTACAATGGAGATTGGAAAATACAATTTATTTATTTTATTTATCCAGATTAAAAAAAGCAAAAAAAAAAAAAAACACGCACACACACGCACACAAAGGAAAATGCAAAACGAAAATTAGCCTTAACTCCGATTGCAGAGACATAGCTAGCTGTAAATTTCGCTCACTGCTCGCCGTAAGCCCAGAATCAGACGGTGGTGGGTCAATGGAGAACGCCGACGTCTTCCTCGGATTGCACGACTTTCTCGACCGCATGCGCCAACCATCGGCCGCCGATTTCGTCAAAGCCATTAAAAGGTATCAAATTCATAGTTTTTTTTTTTTTTTTTTTTGGTGGTTATTCACAATTCCAAATCAAATCATTGATGTTTTTCCTTTTTTCGGCATGATATGTTCTGCTTCCTTTGTTAAATTTGATTGTAATGGGTTCAATTAAAATTCTAAATTAGGGAGCAAAAATGGGGTTCTGGATTATTTTGCTAAATTAGAGCTACACAAGATTATGGGTAGCTGTTCTTCATAAACTCTTTAACAAGCAAAATTTGTTTTTTTGGTACAAAAGATTACCAGTTTTTGTCCTTTCTGCTTTGAATCTGTGATGCTTCTGTTAATGCAATTGTGTGTTTCTAAAAATGAGGTGTTCTGTTTTGCAGTTTCATTGTTTCATTCTCAAACAATGCTCCTGATCCGGAAAGGGATAGTGCAGCTGTGCAGGACTTCCTTGCCAAGATGGAAGCAGCGTTTCGGGTTCATCCACTTTGGGCTGGCTGCTCAGTGGAAGAGCTGGAGAGTGCTGGTGAAGTGAGTTGCTGCTTATTTTTATTCTATTTTAGATGATTCTTATTAGGTAACAAAAATGTGTTTATGAGTGTTGATTTGTTTACCTTTCTTTTAACAACAGGGGCTCGAGAAGTATGTTATGACAAAGTTATTTACCCGTGTATTTGCTTCACTTCCAGATAATGTAAAACACGATGAGCAACTTTCTGAAAAGATGGCTTTGGTTCAGCAATTTATTCGGCCTGAAAATTTGGATATCAAGCCAACCTTTCAGAATGAATCTTCCTGGCTGGTAAGTAAAAGGTTTCAATTCCAAGTGCTTTTCTTTCTAGGTGTGATGTATAGAGAAATTCCTTGAGATTTGATTGCAACTATATCTGGAATGGTGATATCTTATTTTAGTGCATAGACTTTACTGTGATAGTTAAATCTAGTTTCTTCCTCTGAGAAATCAGTCTCACTCTTGGATCTTCACTTTAATGTTGGCAGCTTGCACAGAAAGAGCTTCAAAAGATCAATATGTACAAGGCTCCTAGAGACAAGCTTGTATGTATCCTCAATTGTTGCAGGGTTATTAACAATCTATTGTTCAATGCTTCAATTGCGTCAAGTGAGAATGCTCCAGGAGCAGATGATTTTCTTCCAGTCTTGATTTTTGTTACCATAAAGGTAAGATTTATTTCATATGCAGTAATAGTTTCTTATTTGATAGTAATTTTACGATTTATGCAACATTCCTATCAGTTAGCTGGATCCTGAAGTACTTGATCTTTTTTATTAGTATTAATTGATTCCTTCCCCACTTGTCACCCCGTGTGAGCTCAAAGTTGTTAACATAGAGAGGTCATCTAAAGTGCTGTCAAAACTACAAGAGTGACATAGAAACCTTAGTAAAACATGATCAAATGTTTTGGATTGTTAGGTTGTATTCTTATTGGGAGGCAAAATTACTTTCAACTATGTTTAGTCTCTGTCATTCCAAAGTTTTCACCTTTTCATCAGGTCATTTCCCTTGTAGAAACAGGTACTGGCCTCCTTGTGTCATACATACACCATGTGTATTTATGGACGACTGTTCTATTAGATGGAGAAAGCTCCACTGCTGTGCATGATTTTCTTAGAAGATGTGCCTTCTATTTCTAAGTGAACATCCCTCTAGTCACTGGAATTTCATTTCAGCTAATAGCTTTTATGCTTCCATAATATGAAAGTGAACTTGTGTTTGAAAAATTGTCTTGCATTACCTCTAATAGGCAAATCCTCCTCAACTGCACTCAAATCTGTTGTACATACAACGTTATAGATGTCAGTCTCGATTAGTTGGAGAAGCAGCCTATTTTTTCACACACATGCTCTCTGCTGAGTCTTTCATCTCTAACATTGATGCACAAGCCCTTTCAATGGAGGAAGCTGAGTTTGAAAAGAACATGGAATCTGCGCGTGCTCTCCTTTCTGGCCTTTCAACAGATTTGGATGGTCTGTCCAACCAACTTGATCAAATTGCAGGCAATGTAGCCAGAGAAGAATCTAAAACTCAATCATTAAACTCTAAGGAGGACCATGCATCATTAACTACTGAAACCAACCATGGAAGTAAGGAGGCATCACATTCAAATGATCAGTCATCAATTACCAAAATTCCAACACTCTCGGAGTTGGTAAATAGAGGGGCAGCTATGCTTTTGAAGGAGAATCAAACTAGAGAGGTCTTTCATGAGTGCCCGTACATGTTTGCCCATGCTGGTGATCTAACAATCAATGATGTGGAAGGTCTGCTAAATGACTATAAACAACTTGCTTTCAAATACATTTGTCTTTCAAAAGGAATTAGTGGTGCCACTCCATCTTTCCCTTTCCCAAGTTCAAGAATTCTAGCCCAGCAGCATGCCAACACTATGAAAGAACATGAAGGTAGTAGAGCAATGGAGCAGAATTTTGAGTTGCAGAAAGATATCGATATTGGATATGATGGTTCTTATAAAGTTTCAAATGAAGAAAACATCGAGTCCAAGAAGGTTGAGGCAGTTTCTGCTGAGGAAGATAATAGTGCTGATACCATTGAATGACACCTTAGTGGAAAGATGTTTCTTTGTGGATGTTTGTTGGTTTTCAAAGGGTGCATTTTCTTGTTCATTTTGACCCGGTAAATGGAATAGCATTTTACTGATAAAAAATATAGAAAGGAGAGACCATGTTGTTATGTAAGTTTGTTCTCAAACATAAAGCATGAAGGAGAAAACAAGGGAAGTGCTGGGGGTTTGAGTCTTTTGACATACTTTCTGACCATTCATTGTCGTCTGAGAATTCCCTGAAGATGCAAATTCTATGGCAATTCTGCTCGACTCAGCAAGGTCAGGTTTGAACATCTGAATTTGAAGATATTAATGTCACAGCACATGTTATAGCATATATTTCATCAAAAGTGATAGGCGCATTGCTCATTGTTTTTCATTTTTAGTATTTAGGTGTGATGAACTTTCGAATAGTTGTCGGTGGATGTAGCACAAGTTTCAAAAAGGATACAACCTAGCAATCCTCGTGCTTCACAATTCACATACCTACTACCATGAAAATATTTTGCATACCTACTTTGACAATTCTATTTCATTTGTCTCCTTACCTTTTCAGTTTCTTTTTTCTTTTGATGTATATGACTATATCTATATGGTGTGGAACTGTGGATGAGCATTGTGGTTCCATCCTCCAGGGTTTACATATCGTGATGAATCAAAAAAAAAAAGAAAAGAAAAGTGAATAGCATGTATCAGCATGTGCCAAAATCAGGGACCAAATGAACCTTTTTCACGTTCCTTCCACATGCACTCTAAATCATATGTCGGATGACTCTCAGGAACATCAGCTCTTGTGACCTTTATTTGTGAACTAATAAGCTGAATTTTTTTTATTGTTGTATTATCCAAGGTACAGTTCTACTGCCTACTGGTAGGGTTGTAAATGATTAGCATTTAGAGCCACTTGAGCCGCAAAACTTGTTTTTTTATTTTATTATTTTTTTTCTTTTTTGTGCAACTTTCTTTTGAATGACTTACATGCAAATTCATTTTTAATAATATTTTTTTTCCATTGTTAAACAAAACAGAAAAGTAAAGTAATACTCAGGAGGCTACAATTTTTTATAATTATTAATAGAATAATTGTAATTATTGATACAATAATGAGTTTTATGATATCAAGATTTATATTTTTATCAGGTTAAAAGAAATGTAATTTACATAAAATAAGCTACAAAATAGTATTCCCTAAATAAAGGTATTGCTAGAGCTAATTATGATTTACCTAAAAAATTAAGGCTTTGTTCATAAGTAGATTTATTTTTTAATTTCTTGATTAAAATTTAATTTTTTTTAAAAAGATAAATAAAAATATAATTTTTTAATTTTAAGATAAATAATTTATTTTTAATTAAAAAATTAATTTCAAAATATGCAGAAATTTAACTCATAATCCTACTGCTAAGAGAGAGAGAGAGAAATGTGACTTTGCATTCCTTTGTGTGGTTGCAATGACGGTCGTATTTATTCAAAGTGAGAAGCAGGTGGAATACACTTTGATCCGTAGATGAAGTCTTAAACTCAATTTTTCTCTAATAAATACTACCTTAACACTGTATTTAAAAAAAAAAAAAAAAAAAAAAGAGGTATGACTTCAAGGTGGGGCCTTTGTAGTTGGAATTTCTTTAAATCGACTAAAAACGGCAATGCATGCGTGTTACAACTAGTGTCCCTTGTCCTTATCCACTTTGTGGAGCCCTGCAATTGCAATTGCAATTGCAAAAGGTGGACTTGTTTATTCTTCATAAGTTTGATTTGATTTGATTTGATTTGATCTATTCAAACAAAAACTGTGCAATCGCTCTTGTTGTAGTAGTTGCAGATCAGTAGAAATGGGAAATGATCGGCATCGGATGTCCATGTTCCTGCCAATACTGTGTTCAAGCTCAAGCTCATCCGTCCACGACCCTTTCTCTCCCAGGATCAGTTGCACCGGCCAAATCAAGAGGAACAACAAGATTGCCCGATTTCCCACTTCTCAGCCTCACAACAACAACAATGTCAAGTATGTGAAGCTCAAGAGGCTGTTTTCCTCCTCCTCTTCCTCCTCATCTAGGACCAGTAGTAATGGCACCAAGAATGATTATCCAATTGGCAGCACCAGAATCAGCATGGATGAATTGGATCCTCCACTACCTGTGATCAAGAGAGCATCGAAAGAAGAAAGGCAGCCACCAAACACCCTCTGGGAGAGGAGATCGGGTGGCGTTGAATTGAAAAGTCTACAGCTTCAACAAATCCAACCCATCACCACTGTTTGATTCTTGAAGAGGTAAATGCATACATAGATGATTACTTTATCATTGTATAATAGGGAATTCCCACAAATGTTACGGCATTCGCTACAATTGAAATTATTATTACAACTCCAATACTAAAAGATTTTTATGTTTCTTTGAAAATAGACTCTATTAGATGTTTGAAGGAGAAGAATTTGCCCATACAATTTTCCCATTTACGTAGCTTCGCCTTCTTGTTGACTAACTTGGTAAAAAATAGTTTACCATGTTGTCTTTTTTGTTAATATTCGGTTACTTTGTTCTGTCTTGTATTTATTTACTTATCTGTCTTTGATATATTCGTTTGTGTTATAATATTTGTTTATTTTTTGTCAATCCTTATTATTATTTATTTTTATTATTTTGATAGATACTATGTACTACTACTATTATTATATTATTATCTGATATTATATTTGATTTAGTCAAAAATTTTATTTTTATAAAAATATATATGAGTTTAGATAATTTAGATCTAACTATTTCACATCCTTATAAAAAATCAAAAGTAACTTTAGATAATTATAATATAATGTGTAATTTTTTAGGTTTTAGTCATAATTTACATTCAGATAATAGTCAATTAAACAATATTGTAGATTTAATTATAAATATTTTAAAAATTTATAAAAAAAGAAGAAGAAGTAGTGTTCGAAAAGTTTCAAAACTTTGAAAAACGTTACAACAAAAATATTGTTAAATTAATAGAAAATCAAGACTACCTACAATCACAAATTGAATTTGTCAAAAACAAAATCAATTTATTTAATTTTCAAATTTTGAATAAAAGAGAGTCAAATCCTTTTGTTCAAAACTTTGTCATCAAATAGCTATCTTGATCAAAAATCAAGAAGAGTTGTTAAAAGAAGGCCAAAAACTTCAAAAATTAATTCTTGTTTGGAATGGGTGAAACCCCTTTCACTCAAAATTCCAACTACCGAAAAGCTTTAGAGGAAGTACGAAAAATTAGGAAATCTCTATGGATTAACCAATTTTCAATCTTTAACAATCTAAGATCAGATATTAATAGGACAACAAAATACCCAAATTATTTTGCTACTATGAATCCTTGAAAATCAAGAATAAATTTTAAGTGAAATAAAAGACTTAAAAGATCTTATAGAAGACTCACATTCAAGAACAGTAAAAATATGTCAAGAGACTAAGAGACAAGATCTTCTTCAAGAGGTTAGTGAGAAAATAGATTTGGTAAGAACCATAGACATAAAAGAGGATCCTAAGCAAATAAAATCTAATCTTCCTTCTTTACCCAAAATAAGGGCTAAAGAACTAAAAATCTCAAGAAATTACATTGTACTACCTTAAAATCCAAAAAGCATGAAATCATCTAAAATCATAGGCAACCCTCTAATTAGAATGTTTTCTAAATGAAAACAAATTCAAGAATATGTAAAAATTGAAACTCTAATAGATCATGAAGAACAAATAAAAAGATTCAAAACTCACAAATTTAACTTAAGCAAACCCAAGTATTTTTATGAAAATGCCAATTCCTTATTTAGTGCTAGACTAGTTTTTCAACATTATCAAGAAATTCAAATATTCTGTATCAAAAACAGTGATAATGTTATCTTAAAACTGTTAACTGAAAAGTGGATATTTTTGTTAATATTTGATTAGGGTTTAGGGTTTATATATTGCTCTTTGCCAGTTAGCCCAATTAAACTGCATCATCCTTCATCCCCAGCCTTCTAATGTGCTGGTCTAACAAAATAAATAAAATGAGTCACCCCAGGGGTGAAAACTGAAAAGAAAGGAAATTTCCTCCCTATGTGCAGAATTATAAAATAGGACAAGAAAAAGGAAAAACCTCGGACATCACGTTTAGAGTTTGAGGGGAACGAAATGGAAAACTTAGTTGCTCTTATGCTCTTATTTTATCTATCAATCTGAGGTAAAGATGGGTATCGCAAGAATATATACATACACTATACAAAACAAGCATAGCAGGCAACACATTTTTGATAAGCACAAAGCTTGTGTCCCAAAACTCCACTCCTTTTCTTGCATTACATTTCCCACTGTACATTTACTCTCATAATGAATATACAACAAATGACGCCAAAACTTCTCAACCAGGCACCGACCCCTCTACCTCCACCATTACTTCTGCACTCTGCTCTTGCAATCAGACAAATAGGGAACGCCTCCACCAGATGCAGTTGGGCAGGGCATAGAGGCCAAAGAAAGCTGTGCAGCCACTATTAACCAATGAATCTGGCCTCCAATCTATCCATTGGGCTCCAACAACTCACCAGGATTGATCTCCTCCTTTGGAAGACGATCTACAGGCACATAGCAATATCCTTTTGGTAGCCGTGAATTCTTCATAGAAGCTTCATCTGATGTCATCACCAGCTCTTTCTCAAACGTTTCAATGTGCTGAGATTAATAATATAGTCTCAACATTAGCCTAAATTCCAGTTACAAATAATTAAAAGAAAGAACAAGTAGGAAGAATGCAAGCGAAACAATATGATTGATGCAGGAAATAAACCTTTCTTGATGATGAGCTCCATCCTCCACTATCCAAAAGATTACCGGATGCAAGAGAGTATCTATGAGGGATTTGCTTCCCAGAGAAGGACAGCCTCTCTGTTGGCTTTGGGGTAAACAGGTTTTGGGAAGTAGAGCTATCGTCAGTCCTTTGATCAGTATCCATGGAAACAGGAACCTTAACTCCATGCTTAACAGAAAGGGTACTGTCCACTGTCACATCATCTGATCGTTGGACAGCTTCACTATATGATTTGTAACCACCATCTGTATGGCCTTTGAGAGAGGTAGTTGCAGATTCTGAGCTAACCTCTGGCAGAAGAAATGGACTGTGAACAAGCACAGAGCGAGTAACATGATCCCTTTTGCATGCAAGAATTTCATGTGAGCAGAGAACCAATTCCCGCTGCATACACAATCACATTGGTGTACTCAAATCAGCTCATTCTATACCAAACCGAGAATAGCTAAGACAAACACATATGAATAAAAACCACATTAAATTACATTCTCCATTTCTATGAACATGGTCTACCTTCAATTTTTCACGTTTGATGATTCTCTCACAAAGAAGACGCAACCTCTCCAATTCAACCTGTGCAGAAGAATATACAACCAGGTGATTAAAATGCTTGTGCTACTAATGAGGATTGATAGATTGGTCGCATTAATGTAAAAACCAATGAGTCAAATTGCAAAAATTTTTAGGTTAGTAATTAAGATGCAATATTATGGTTTATAGGTAATTATTTATTAAGGAAGATTAACTCCAAAGAAATAGACAATCAGAAAAGCCCTTACCCTAGTTTGCTTCATCTGTCTTAACTCCTCAATTCCATGCCTTTGAGTTTCAGCCTGTACAAATAGAAAAGTGAAATGTTACGAACAATGAACAATAGACCCAGTACAGGCAATCAACAATATAGACAAAATTACAACCTTTGCTCTCTGCTCCAAGCTATGCTTTTCACAGTATGCCTTGTGCTGACATTTCCCACCACCACCTTTCACATTCATGAAGAATCCAGAACTTCTAGCACAGGAGGGATGGAATGTCGTCTGACAGTGACCGTAACTACACTGAAACCATAGAAAGGACGATGTGATTCAGCTACAACCCAATCACAGCAGTGCTTGCAGTTAACACACAAACGTAAAAGGCAATCATGAAATCACAAACCTTGATGCACACACCATGTTTGCGACGGCATATACAACAAACATCAATCCCCTTCGAAACTGTCTCCTGTTATTTGCAACAGATAAGTACATAAGAACAGCAAGGCCTCCTAGCCAATCCACCCCACCAAATGAAATATATATATATAACCACATAAACGGCACATACCATTCCTTGAACAGGATTTCCTTGACCCCTCCGGAATGAAGATTCAAGAACCCACTAAAAAAAATGTAGAAGTCATAGTTAAGTGCAGTTCATAAAAACAAAAATGTTAACGAATCAACAATAGAGACATTAACCTCAGCACAGAAGGCATGGACCCACTGCCCATCAACAGATCTCCTAAATGCACCAGTAGTGCCACCACATAAAGCACATTCTGCAACAGGAAGAGGTTTATCCCAGAAATTGACAGATGGAGCCCCAGAGGACCTAGATGACAATAATTCTGCACATAATTCACAGCACCATGGGCCAGTAGATTCTTTAACATTGCAGTAGCAGTCCGAGTGTACAGCAACCTGTAAGAAGGGCTTAATCAAAATACAAAAGTAGATGGACAGAAAATTTTCCGGCAAGAAATAAAATATCAGAAATACTCAATGTTCAGGAAATAAAACCTTGCAACTGAAACAGACTAAGATAGGATTCAACATCATCTCAAAACGTCTGCAGACGTCACATGATCTAGGATGTTCTTTAGAAATATCCGACACCAATTGAATAAAATCAGAGTACTTGTCTGATGAACTGTTTGGACCAGCTACCCTTGAAAGTTTCTCCTTTGCCCGCAGTACTGGCTGAGAACTAACATTAGCCCTCCCACTAGAATTATTCAGCTTCAGCATGTTCTGTACAGAGGATAAGAAATTCTTAGATCCTTCTCTAAAGGCAATAACAAAATTTAGATAAATAAGAAATCATGGAAATAACCTCATGATGACCAGGGTCTTCTAAGCCATCTTTCCTAGATGATGAACTCCTAGAAGAAGCAGCAGCGGCAGCAGTAGCAGCAGCAAGCACAGCCTGGGCCTCCTTATGCTTTCTTTCTTTCCTACCCTGCTTCTTTGCCTCTTTTAGCTCATGAAGGTACTGATTAACAAGCACAGCATCCCATCTTTGCTGCCTTGCTGATTCAATCTGCTCTGGAAGAGTTTTAGCAACCCTACGAACTAAATTATCTGCAAGGATAAATCATACAAAACACAGTCACCAAGAGTAAAGTTGTGAGACAAGAAAGTGTGTATACATACCAATGAAAAAGAATAATACTAAGTCAAAAGATTTGCCAAAATGGAAAGAGGAAAAGTAAATACCAGTAAGACAATCCGTTGTAACAACTTTACCAAGCAACCTATGTTGATAATAAATAATTTGCCCTTCCACTTCATCTTCAGGAGATAATTCCAAAACACCCATATTCTCAGCCCTATCCAACTGCTCCAAATCTAGTGGATCAGATTTACAGATCATGTCATTGCACTTTGATTGTTGACTTTGATGATTACAGCAAACGCTTGCATTGCAAGATGCTTCCCTTCGGGAGACATCTCCCTCCCCTGCACCTGTGAGATCATGTAACTCTTAGACATGCCAAAATGGAAAGTAGAAGAAATAAGAGAAATAGGATCAAAAGGGATGTGATAACATACCATCAAATTCACAAAAAACATCTTCTTTCCCTCCATTGAGACTGTTCTTAGAATTAGAAAGCATCGAACTCTGCATCTTAAACAGCTTCTCTATATACGGGTGAACGTACAAACCAGGAAATCCCTCATCTTTTCTGCATGAGATTATAAAACACATATATTCATCAAAAAAAGGTAAAATCTTAAGAACCATTTCAACTTTGAAGTAAATGGGAAGCATGCCCAAATCATTAAACAAAAAGAAAATTTTTGGAAATAAACAGAAATTAATTTTTGAGGTTACATGAGACCAGGGAGAACTGGATTCACAATTGAGCAAATGGGTTTTCCTTTATCTGGTTCAACATGGTTCAGAAAAGAGCAAACAGGATTTCCTTGATCTGAATTTCCTGATATATTCTTCTCAGAGGCAGCAGCTTCCTCTAAATGGCACCTTTTGGAGATGCTCTGATTGGGAGGATCAGCTTGACCACCTATTCCAAGACATTTTTTTCATCAAAGATAAACTACTAATGAATATGTGTGTGTGTGTGTGTAACACTCTTTCAACCCATCCAAGATGTACACTTTGACCACTGAAAATAGCATTTTTTAAGATACCATCCAGCAAACATACCTTTACATTTAGGCGAATGCCCAACCAAAGACTCTTTCACCCCATCAGGCTTGGTCAAAGTCTACATGAACAGTGGAAATTACATTAGTAGAAGAGGATAACAGAGTCATCACATTGAGCTCATCACCAATCCTGGAATAATTCCAATCATGATTTGTGACCAAAACCGGTGTCTAAAAATCATAAAGAAGGAATCAGTTAACATCTACTTGCATCACAATAATACCTTTTCAGTTGCATCAGAAATGGAGGTTTTACTTGAATCTTCTGATATTCCCTGGATGTGTTCATCTCTACAATCAACCATCACTATCCCATTGCCACCCAAATTTTCATCAGATGAGCATGTAACTTTTTTATCCCTCAAAATCCTAATGTTATTTTTGGTTCTTCTCCGCGGGGGAACTGACTTAACAGCAACAGGATCTGTCATATCATCCTCCGATAAAACTACATCTTCAGAAATATCTGCTGCCCCACCTCCATCCCTTGATGAAATCAAAGATTTTATTCTAACTAACAACTTTCTCTCTGAGGTACCCATATAAGCATGTTCTCTAAGCCATTTTACTATTTGGTATTGCAAGTCAGGAGCCAGGTTATCATCCTGCACAAAGAGCACTAACAAGTCAGAGAAAAGAACATTCAAGAGGAGATATTGACCAAAAAGCAGACAGCTAAAACATCTTCCAGAAAACAATTGTAAAAACAGAGAAGTAAATTATTGCTATGTATTACAGCTAATTTTTCGCTTAATGAATCAGGAGAGATGCCAATCTCTGACGCAATGTCTTTAACATTGACTTTTGCCAGGTCAATTAACTGCAAATATAACAGATAGATTAATTTCTTTGGCGAATAAATACATAAATTGTCATCAAAGACATGAGATATGTGTTTGAATACCTTCAAAATCAATGCCGAATTTAGGGAGTCAGATAAGTTAATATCTTCAGTTTTACTCCTCTTCATCAAACCCACATCAATAAGTTGATGTGCATCACATTCAGATGCCACTCCAGCATTTGCTATAGTATCCAATAGTTCCCCATTCCATGATTCAGTATCTCCAGATCTACCAGAGCTGTTATCAGGAGTTCCTATATGCATTGCAATTCTATCTCCATTTTGAAGACCAAGCTTCAACTTTTGAGTCTTATTCATAGGCAATCCCCCTGGAAGATGATTGGTAAAAGATGAGTCACTGCCAGGTACACAAGGATCTCCTAATTGCTGGGACCTGCTCTGATCCTGGACATCTGAGTGCTTTAAGCAAAAAGCTCGTAATTCAACCTAAAAATAAATGAACACTTATAATCAGAAAGCCTAAATAACTAATAAGACAGCAGTATCATTCTATGAAAAATTTGATAGTAAGAAGAATTGAGGTTCAACAGCTGAAAGGGCTTACATTATCACACCCATATTTCCCCCAAACTTCCATTCTATGCCTTGCTTCTCTTGCACACATAGGATGAAAGGAAGTTCTACAGGTTCCTGAAGAAACAACACAAAAATTAGAATCATCATCAAAGGATACACCACAACCATGTTTATAACTCTATAAAGGTTGGGTCTTTTTATCAGGCCAAGAAGGTGGGTAATTGGAAAAGACAGAAGCACACAAGAAAACAAATAGTATCTTAACCAGCACAGATCAAGATATCTTTCCATTTTCTTTAGGTTTTTAGCCTCAGCTTCAATCTGGTCTTGGACCACCCCAATCTATCGATTGAGGTAAATATATATAATAATAATAATAATAAGAAAGGAAATGCAACCTTTGTATGTAGATAGATCACTGATTGAATTCCCAGTTCCAATAATATTATACGAGAGAGAGTTTTCTTTCAAAGGGACTCCAAGACAATCTAAAATCAGACCATATGGATTATTACCAGTTAAAAACATAAGATGCAGTAAAATGATTGTTCAAGAAGAAAACTCTGCATATAAATTTCAATTTAAATACTCTACCTGCCTACAATTTAGATCAATTTCAATAACAAGGCAAACTGCAAACACCGAAAGTGACTACCATGGCATAAATTCATAAAACCTGCTCATGGTTCAACACTGCAGGAAACATCAAGCAAGGCAACTAGCCTCATGGAATACCACACAGGAGACAAATGAATCCTTTGTTCTATTCAAATTGTAAGACATTTCTAAATGTCAACTAAAATAACAAAAAAAGGATAGACATCATAATCTGCCAAGCAATCTCAGAACACAACACGAACATGACCCATTCTGCAATCTAAAAGATGCACAGAGCCACAGACTAAATTCACTAGAATGCTCTCCTGGTGTACCAACCAAAACAAAAAGATGCAGAATAAAAAAAAAAAAAAAATGAGTTAGCAACAAACATACCATGACTGCACCGGATACAGACACCATGCTTCACCTTGCATACGTTACAGACCAATTTCCTCCGGGTTTCCTTTATTCCTCTCAAATTTATAATTGGCTCCATCTTAGTCAGGTTTTCTATATAGACCTCGGGCATCCATAGAGAACAAAACAAGTGAACAAACTCTGTTGACTCCTTATTTTCAAGGCTCTTCTGGATGGGTTTTAGAGCACCACCTTGCTTTGGGCAAAGCACACAAGGTTTTAACGAATCACTGCAGTCCTTCTTCTGCTCGCACCAAGAACACAACCAAGAACCATCAACATTGTTTTGTACACCATAGCACTTCTGATGAACAGAAACCTTACATGAACCGCAAATAATTAATTTGTTTGACTCATTTCTGGTGTCTCCCGTGCAGCAAAAGTGGCACAGAAAAGATCTGCTATCGCATGGAGGGAAAATTAAGAGTTTTTCCAACCCAGCATCACTCCCAAGAAGCTTCCGCTTCTTTGACGGACGCTCAGAAGTTAACAAAACCCTGCTCCTAGAACCTAAAAGCCAATCTGTACCGCTAGATAAATCTGAAGTTGAGTTCTCTTTCTCTTCCTTAGCTCCTGCATTGTCAATTTCCATTAAGTGCACACTGTCCTCTTTCACATCTTCTTTAGCAACACCATTTGCATCTTCTTTTGCAACACAATTAGCATTATCGGACTCCGACGTGACAGTGTCTCCACAACTCGGGCTCGTCTTCAACTGTAACTCCACACCCACATTTGCTGACAAAGTCACATCCGCACTCCGCTCTTTACCCACGTAAGGAATGAAGAAAGATTTCCTTGCAGCTAAAGAGCCATGGGAAGAAAGCTGAAACACAGTATCAATATCCGGCAACGCCAGGTCCTTAAAATACTCTTCAGTCTCAGCCCAGATATTTCCACCACGAGCCTTTTCGCTGTGTCTTGAAGACTTCTTATCTGCGCTAGAATGCGACTTTTTATGCCTCTTCCTACTATCAGACTGCTTCAAGAAACTGGCCAGTCTATTTGGCAACGTAGGGGAATCCAACGCAGAAATGGAACCATCCTCGGGGACATCATATGGAGAACGCTCGTATAGGACCTTCCGCGCCTGAGAGAAGAAATCAATGTCAAGTGAAATACATTTCTTAACATCCTCCGTCTGGCTCGTCGGAATCCTAGCCGGAACCCTAGATATGGGACGGCAAGGCCTCTCCTCAGTGCCGCAACCTCCATCTGCACCTCTACCCATCATCTTCTTCCGCCGTTGGCATCGGCCTAACGTCATCGCCGACGCCAGCCACCTCCAACACTAACACCAGAACCGCCTTCACATTCCATCACCAACCTACCCAAGAAACGAACTTTGTCGTTTCCCACCTTCGCATCCACCTACACACCAATACCCCCCTCACCCTTACCCTAAACCAACTCCGATATCAGTCTTTCAGACGAATAGAGGATGGAAATTGAAAGAGGATAAGCCGCGGCTAGGGTTAGGGTTTTCAGTTATTTTTTTCTGGTTCGGATCCGTTTCGCCCAATCTCCTTCGAAGAGAGAGAAAAAAGAGATTCGCGTTTTTTGCAGGCAGAGCAGACGGTTCGTTTCGGACTACTAAACATTTTTATACGGAAGTTTAGATAGCCTGTGGTTACGCAAAAGATGTGCACCCGTAATTCACCGCTGATTCTGCCACGTGGCATGGGAGAATTGGCTCAATCGGCAAATTCCTCTTTTTGAAATTATCTTAATAGTAATTTTATTTTAGTGATTTTGTAGGGGAAAAAAAATCATTTTATTAGTATAAGTTAATAAGTACCAAGTAAAAAAGTTTGACTTTTTTTTAATAAATTTTAAATTTAAATTTTATGAATGGAGAAATAATTGTTGAAAAATTTTTTTTTTATGAATTTTAATCAAACTTGATTCTGAATTAATCGAAATTTAATATAATTATTAGATATAAAAAAAAGTTAATAAATATATATATAAGTTAATAAGATATGGAACCGACATTTTTCGCAAAATAGGTGAATGAGGGCTGAAAACTTGTCTTTGATTTCAATTGAGAAAGTAACTTATTTTGATTTGAAATAAGGACGTCTCGTTCTTTCCACACAAGTTGCTAACATCAGATGGAAAATGATCGCATGATGGTTTAATGGTCATTGGTGTGGCGTGAAAGTTTTTTATTTGAAAATGAAACAAATAAGCTACGTGGCTGTATTTTGCTCAGGATGAATTAACTAAAACAAATCAAGAAAACTATTATATATTGTCGTTGTTCAAGGAAAATTAATTAACGTTAAATAATAAATGAAATTATTAAAAAAGACAAAAAAAAAAAACTTCATAGATTTTAAGCTAAAGTTTGATGAAATGTGCAAATTGTTGAGTTAATTAGAACAACAAATAAAACCGTCAAAAAAATTTTCTTTTCTTTCTTTCTCTACATTAGAACTCTTCTCCTTCTAACTACATCTTCCCTAAGTTCACTTTTTTTTGGTGCTTGGAAGCCTTCGACTTCACGAGATTTTAGGTGCTGAGAAGTCAAAGGGCTTCTCAAGCATGGTGGAGCTAGCCTTTTGTGCTTTTGTGTCTGCTGACCACCTTAAGTAATCTGTCGATTTGTTTTGTGGCTCCTATGGTGGCTTTTTTCGTTTCTTCCTTTACTATTTCTTATTTTTCTTTGTTTGTTTACTCAGATCTAGTGGCCAACATGCCAACAAAGCAGAAATTAGGGATTGGTTGCTACTTTTCTTGATCTCCTTGTCACGGCATTTTGGAGAACAAGCTCATCTTTAAGAGTAGATTGAAAGATGTTCAATTCTTGAAACGGTTGATCAAAAAAATTTGTAAAAATCAAGTTTTTAGAGGTTGTTCGTGTGATTATTATTGTCCTTTTTTATATTTATTTTTTGTTAAATTTAATCTACTTTAATTGTTATCTCTAATAGTACTTTATTTATTCTATCATTTGATCTTATCACTAAGACCAAAATCTTTTATGTAAATGTTCATATGGCTTTGCTTTAATTATAAAAGTTCAGTTGAGTTCAAAAAAAAAAAAAATAAAACAAATAAAACCGTCAAAAAGGAGGTTCTAGAAAGACACCCTCATACTTAATAATGGTGGGGTAGAGAGTATGTGAGACTCTTGAATTGGTAATGAAGGTGGTGTACTTGAAAATATAATAGAATTTCTTGTTTATTGTAGATTTGTAGACATGTGGTCATAATGATTTTAAGCTTGCTCATCTCTTTAAGTTGGGCCGAACTTTAACTAGAATCATTAATTGTGACATGCAAGCATGATGTTAAGGTTATTTTTTATTTTTCATTTTTTGCAAGATAGGCATTTTTTTCGTGGCCCATAATTGTTTAACGATAGCTCAATTTGTTTTTGGAACGAAAATGATTTTGAGATAATTTTTTATATTATTTGTAATATAATTTTATATGTTATTTAAATAAATATTTAATTTATTTATTTAAAATTTATGATATTAAATATATCTATTCATTTAACGATATATAAAAATTATATTACAAAGTAGTATAAAAAAATTATTTTTTTTTAATCTTGATTACACAATGGAAAATAATCATCTCCTATTCCTTATCTTACTCCATCTACGTATTATACGACTTGAATTCAGAATCTCTTACTTTCAATAGAAAAAGATAAGCACTAAATAATTTGAGCCGTTAATTTAAAAAATTATTCTTATAACACTACTTTTATTAGAATAAACAACTTTCATAATATTTTAATTGAATTTCGTACCTATAAAATAAGTAAATAATTCCATTTTTTTAGTTTCTCCCAATTCAAATGATTTCATTCAATGTGTGCGTACTAAATTGGGTGTTGGAACCTTCAAAAATGTTTCATACAATGGGTTGAATGTGCAATTTAATTTAAGTATTAAGACAGTAAAAATTGGTCTTATTTGATCAAATTAAATTATTTAAGAACTTAATTGTCAACAGTTTATTTAAAAGCATTTTTGAAAATTTGTTGAAAATTTGAGGGCTCAATAAGTGCTTTTCAAAAAATTCTTAATATTGTAATTTTCCCACACGTTGGTGCTTGCGCGTGTGTATATACATATGTGTGTATAATATGCTAATAAGCGAAAAAGGAATTAAAATCTATGCTAGATTGGCTGTGAGTCAACCATAACCTTCCTTATTAATTTTTTTTAAAAACACTTTCTATATGTCAAAAAGTCATAAATGGAAAGAGGTGGGTGGAAAATGAAAGAGAGAAAATAAAAGGTAATGTTTGTGTGTATGAGATTGTGTTTTGCTGGCAATGAATCCCAACTTTCTTTATTAGTTTTTTTAAAATAAATACATAAAATGTGATGGTAGTATATGAATTATTTTTGTTTTTTGATTGACCTTTTGTTTATACTACAAGGTAACAAAATGTGAGAGATGCCAAATACAGGTTTTCCATGTATAACCTTAGGGATAATGATATGTTGAGGATTTTTTTTTAATGATTTTTTTAATATAATTTTTACATGTAATTAAATGAGTGAATATATATAATATCTCATAAATATCAACAAAGTGAAAAGAATTAATTATTAAATAATATATAAAATTGTACGTAAAAATTACATTAAAAAAAATTTACCCCTCACTCATTTTCATAATCCTAGTTAGCTTCCAATCTAATTAGCAAAATTAATAAATGGTGATATTAAAGGCACACATTGAGTGATAATTCTCAAAACTTAAATTTTGAACTTAATCTATAAGAAGATATTTACTTATTAATAGATCAAATTATCAAGATAAATTAACATTATGATTATTAAAAAAATTCATGAGCTTTGCTATGTGCACTCAGTGTGGGTGCAAGTGCACAAGCACTCCTCCTATCATTAGATGCTTTTATATATTTATATATATAAATGAAAAAATACATATAGTTCCGACTTTTAAAATAAATTAGAGTCTTTCATTTTATTTAATTAAAACTTAATTCAAAATTTAAAAATCTATCTTATTAAATATTAATATTTAGATTTGAAA